AATTTCCCTATCTTGCCTTATAACTCTGGCTATGACTTCCAAAATAATATTGAATAGTAGTGGTGATAAAGGGCATCCTTGCCTGGTACCTGTTCCCAAGGAGAAGGCTTTTGGTTTTGCTCAATTGAGAGTGACTTTAGCTGTTGGTTTTGTATATATGCTCAGAATTATGTTAAGGAATTTTCCTTCTATTCGTCTTTGTTGAGTGTTTTTATCAGGAATGGATGTTGGATATTTTCAAATGCCTTTTCTATATCAATTGATAAGATCATGTGGTGATTTTCATTTTTATTATTTATATGGTGGATTGCATTGATTTCTTTTGTAATGATGAAGCATCCTTGCATCCCTGATATGAATCCCACTTGGACATGTATTTTTTCTTGTTGTGTTGTTGAATTCTGTTGGCTAGGATTTTGTTGAGATTTTTTTGCATCTATGTTCATGAGTGATTGTTGTTGTTGTTGTTGTTGTTAGGTGCCATAGAGTCAGTACCGACTGATTGGGACTTTACGCACAGCAAAACTAAACACTGCCCAATCCTGTCCTCTTCACTTTTAACAACAAGGTTGTATCATCTGCATATCACAGATTGTTAATGAGTCTTCTTCCAATCCTGTTGCCATGTTTTTCTTCATAGAATCCAGTTTCTCGGATTATTTACTCAGCATAGAGGTTGAATTAGTATGGTGAAAGAATACAACCTTGTCACACAACTTTCTTAGTTTTAAAACATTCAGTGTTTTCATGTTCTGTTCAAACAACTGCCTCCTGGTCCAGGTACAGGTTCCTCATGACCACAATGAAGTATTCTGGAATACTTATACTCTGCAATGTTGTCCATGGCTTGTCATGGTCCACACAATTGAAAGCCTTTGCATAGTCAATAAAACACAGGTAAACATCTTTCTTATATTCTCTGCTTTCAGCCAAGATCCATCAGAGATCAGCAATGATATCCCTCATTCCAACTTGAACCTCTGGAAGTTCTCTGTCAGGATATGATTGTAGCCATTTCTGTATTACCTTTAGCAAAACTTTACTCGCATGAGATATTAAAGAGATTGTGCGATGATTTTTGCATTCCTTTGGGTCACTGCTCTTTGGAAAGGGCACAAATATGAATCTCTTCCAATCAGTTGGCCAGAGAGTTGTCTTCTGAATGTCTTGGCAGAGATGAGTGAGTGCCACCTGACTTTCTTGAAAGATTTCAATTTTCATTCCATCAATTCCTGGACTCTTGTTCTTTGCCAATTCCTTCAATGCACCTTGGACTTCCTCCTTCAGTATCATTGGCTCTTGATCATATGCTACCTCTTGAAATGGTTGAACATTAACCATTTTCTTTTGGTACAATGACTCTGTATTCCTTCCATCTTTTTTTGATGCTTTCTGCATTTTTCAATAATTTGCCTAGGGAATCTTTTAATAATGAAAGTTGAGGCTTGATTTTTTTCTTCAGTTCCCCCAGCTTAAGAAATGCTGAACGTGTTCTTCCTTTTTGGTTTTCCGATTCCAGATTTTTGCATATTTTGTTGTAATATTTGGCTTCATCATCTCGAGCTAATCTTTGAAATTTACTGTTCAGGTCTTGGACCTCATTTCTTCCATCTGTTAGTGCATAGTACTCAGTTACTGTCACTTGACAGGGGTTGCTGTCCATCCTTTTCCAGATTTGTTATCTTAGCATAAAATTAACTTCAGGGATCTTTTGTTATGAATGTCTTTAATTCGATGTAGAGCCAGGGTAGGCACTGGGAAACTGGTCTCCCCCTTTGATAAGCTAAGGCTAGTAGTTGAGTTCCAGGAAGGGTTAGGGTAATTAAAGAATCCATATTTAGGAAGGAAGTCTTGAAGCACTCAAAAGCGACCACAGAGAGTGGTGGTGGTGGTTGTGTGCCACTGAGTTGGTTCCAACTCATAGCAACACTGTGTAGGGTTTCAGAGACTGTAAATCTTTAGGGACCAGAAAGCCTCATATTTTTCATGTTAGCAGGTGTTTAAAGTTTATTGGTCAGTTTAAATTCTCTTAGTGCATTTCTACTGTCATTGAGAAACTGGGATGTAAGATATTAACAGGTTGTTTATCACAGAAAACTATGGGCAAAGCCAGGAGGACCTGCTGAAGAACAAAACTGTTGAGAGACTGTGCAACATAGAAACACCATACCAGAAAATAGGTGAGAAAATACCTAGGAAGAATTAATGAATGCCGAAGCAGAAAACTATGGAGGCCACAAATTAGTTTTATAAGAAGAAGAAACTCGGATTACCATGAGTTCATCATCTTTATTATTCTACAAAACAAAACAAAAAAAATTTGAATTAACATTGTGTTATTGTGTGACATCACATGGAGTCCAAATCATAATACCCTATAGGACCTGGTAGAACTGCCCTGTAGAGATTCCTAGGGTACAGTCTTTAAGGGATCAGATCACCTAGTCTTTTTCCCCAGGGAGCTGCTTAGGGAGTTTAAAAGGCCAACCTTTCAATTAGCACTTCATCATTGAGTTACATGTCAGATTCTCTACATTTTCAGTTTCCAAGAAAAGTATCACTAATTTTGTCCCAGCCCTAAATTGTAGAAGACACGATAAAATGCATATCACTGATGACTAAAGGCAAGTTAGATTACATAGTACTTTGTGTAACACAAATATAAGACCAACATTACCAAAGGTTTCCTAAAAATATCCTTTCAAATAAGTGGTGAAGATCAAGATCCAAGATGTTTTTATGTAACATAAGAATCCCCTTGTATATATAAGAATCACCAAGGAAACTTGATAAAATGTAGATTCTGATTCAGTGCATCTGGGTTGGATAGGTCTCTGTAGGGGGTCAAACTGAAATTAACTGTTTCAAAGCCCTAAAAAATTCATAGCAAAGCAATTCTCAAATATGTTTCATTTTTATTACATTCCGTTCTTCTTCAAGTCTGCATAGATTTTTCCCTTTTTTGTATATGAAATTCTGGTGTGGCGCTATAGGATAAGCACTGGACCTAAGGGTCAGTTTGGTTTAAACTCACCAGTCACTCTTTGGAAACCCTATACAGGGTCACCATGAGTCAGAGACAACTCAAAAGCACTTAATAGCAACAACAACAAATTTAAATAGCAGACATATTGGTCAGTAATGGCTACGAATGTCTTAGAATATTGTAGAAGATACAAATTGGGATATTGCCTAATTTTGGTAAGTGTAATTTATCTGAAATATTAGCTCTCAAAGCACTCATAATCCCTAGCCAGTGAAACAAAGGGACATAAAATAAAGCTAATAAATGGTAAAACTTTGAAAGAGACTGTAGGCCAGGAAGTCTTTCAGTAATACAAAAAGACTCCATTAGTACTTTGATCACTTCACTTAGTCACAAAGGAAATACGGAATGTTGTTAAGAGCAAGGAAGAGATTATTTTTAATGCCAAAATGTAATAGAAAATAAAAAATGAAAACAGTGCTAAAACATACTTAAATGTGTTAACCAGACTAGGGTTTGTGGGAAAATAATTGGAGTCCTGGTATAGTGCTGTAGGATAAGTGCTAAACCACAAGGTCGGTGGTTCAAACTCACCAACTGTAAGGACTGAAACTTTACTTAACCAAACTTTAGCATGGTTTCAAAAATTATCCAAAAGTACCTAGGCCTCCGCTTATCTATAGCATGACTAAACCCAGCTGCCAGGAAGTATACAAGCAAAGACATTTCCCCTAAAGGTCATAACAATTAGGTTAGGCCACCCTAAAACATCATTGGAAATACCCCAAACCTGCAAGAAACTGACAAATTGACCGCCAGAAACAAATCCGCGTAAAGGTCAGAATACTTACTTTATGCCAAAACCAATCAGCTTAAAGGTTAATATGTTCACCAATTGCAAAATGCTTATGCACTGTTGCCGAAATCTGCCTTGTATAACCCTATAAAAAGTAATGAAACAAACAGATAGGGGTCGCCTTCATCTCCTAGTTTCAGGAGTCCTTGTGAAGGTTGACCCCAACGCGTTGGCAAATAAACCTCTTGCTTTTGCATCGAACTCGAGTCCTGTTGATCTTTTTTGGGTCTCCTACCAGATAAGGCCATCTGGGGCCTAACACAACTACTTCTCAGAAGCCTTACACATGGTTGTTATGAGTTGGAACCCATTAGATAGTATTTAACAACAATGATTGGAATTAAAAAGGTTGGGGAAAATGAGAAAAAGATAAACTACTGCTTATTTAACATGGTTTATCACATGAGCAGAAACAAAAAGATAATTCTTCTGTTCTTACTAGTAATAGAAGAAAAGACAGAAGAATGTGTAGTTACCCAGTCAGGAAAGACAGCCCTTTATTAACACTTAATGGTGAGTGCTTAGTTCTAAGGGATTTTATCTGAATAACTTGGGAAAAAAAAGAAGTAACAAAAACACTTGGTAGCTAATGAGATGATCAGTGTGTGTGTGTGTGTGTGTGTAAAGATAATATTTGTAATTTTGAACATTTTGAGGTTCAGATGATAGTAATAAAATTTGTAATCTATTCTTGGAACTGCAGAGCTATCTATCTATCTATCTATCTATCTATCTATCTATCTATCTATCTATCTATTGTTGGGTGTTTTTTTTAAATGCCATCCTATGGAGTCCTGTTGTTGT